GTTCATTTAGGCAACACTTACAAGCAAAAAAGCGAGGCAATTTGAAAGGTTTAGAAGCATTTTCAAATACTTCATGTACTTTTCACATTGAGAACATATGTTTTTTATTCAAAGGCTTAGATGTGGACTCGTTCTTAACAATAAATCGTATTTCAAATTATCACTAAATCTTAGCATCTGAGTTGATTTGGCTTAACGGATTAATTCAAATTTGATTACTATCCATTATAAAAGAAAAGGGTTAATTAAGTGTTTCCTTAAAATGAATTATTGTCATGTGTTGAATTACCCGAACTGAGTGGAGAAACGATGTAGAAGGGCACCAGTTGGCACAGAATCTCGGATACCGCAAAGTCGAGATACAGTTGGACTCCAGATGTGTTGTTCAATTACTTAGCCAAAGGGATGGCGATGATCATTGTCACACAACAGTCTTCCAGGACTTTTAGGCACTCCTTGATAGAGATCGAGAAGTTTTCTTGTGACATATTTATAGGGAGGGCATTAAGTGAGTTCATTTTCTTGGTAGGCTCGGTTACTAGCTACCTCTAGGTTTCCATAATGTATCCATTTTTTAGTATATTCTTATTTCTTGGTTGATGTATGACGTTCACGGGACCTTAGAACCTCGCTTGGTTTTGAATGATTGTTGAAATTATTTGGATCCATTTAAAAAAAATTACCCTACCAACAAAAATTTGGTCCAGTGGTTATGGCATCAAACTTTGAACTCAGAGTTCCTAGTTGAGATTCCTATGATGCACAAACCTTCTCCTCTTTCCCTTCCCCTAATCGTGGGCCCCATAAAAAGGGGAATTATCGTTCCTAAAAATAGGGATGGGGAACAAACTCATCATCGTAGGTAACCATTGAATCCGAATAAATTTAATTTATCGCAAAAAATTCAACGCGCATTACTTTTGACTAGGTTTTCATAAACCTGACAAGAAGGATAATGAGTTCGGTGCGGTTTTGATATTTAAGTATTAACACCAAATGCACCCGACTATATGCCTCAACTATGGTGAGACTCATTCGATTTACCATTTCAGGCATCCAAATCTATCAAGCATAGTATTATCTCTTAGACTCCAAGTCTTGTTGATTCTGGCTCATTTTACAAACAATATATATCAAAGAAATGTCAATTAACATCAACATTGTAAAAAAAGAATTATATACTATAAATCTTTGGATATAATTATTTAGGATAGTTGTAGAAGGACTTTCTTAAACTGCATAAAAGTATGTTACATTAAATCTCCACCAAATTTTAGTTTAAGAGATAATTGTTATTTTAGAAGGGTTGAGTGAGAAGGAATGGATGGATTAGATTGAGAAGGAAGGGATCCATGGCCATTTTTGTAGGAGTTAGGACGGAAAGTGGAGAGTGAGGAGATGATTGACCGAATTTTTGTGGCAACTGATAAGATTTTGGGTGCCTCAGCATGTATTTCTAGACGGATGATAAGACACTCTTCAAATCTCGGTTAATATAAATGCAACTAATCTCTTCTTATGAATACCAACAGTTAGGGGTGGGCATTGGGTGGGTCGGGTGGATTTTGACCATAAAATGCATCCACCCGCGCTTAAACGGATTGATAATTTTTAACCCACCACCCACCCACATTTAGTCTCGGGTTGGGTCGGGCGGATGGTGGATGATGCGGGTGGGTTTGTGGGTTCACCCACATCACAATGTATATAATATAAAGGAGTCAACTTGACATGATAATAGGTGAAAGAATCATCGAGGGAACACAAGAAGTTGAAATAGGGCGAAAAATGTCGAATTAGTTCTTAAATTAGATAGGATTTCTATTGTGAAAGAGTTTTCTACAGATTGAGACGATTATTAGGTGCAAGGAACTAAGGAAAATAATTCCACAAAGGAAAGAGCGGTGATCTAAGCACAAGAATTAGAGGAAAAAGTAAAAGGATGAAGAGGGGATCTCTATTTGGAAGGTTGGCTTTGAGGTTCAAACTCCAGGAGCAGTCCGAGTTTATATCTAATGTCTCCACTCTCCTCTCTCTAGCGCCAACGACTTTGATCTTTTTGTTGTTGGGTTGAGTGGGTCACCCGCACACTCACCCACAACCCACCCACCACCCGGCGGATGGCTCCCAACGCAACCCGTCACCCACCCACAGACCCATCCACTTAACGAAATTCGGATCAAATGCAGGTGGGTCTGCCCAAACTCGCGGATGATCCGCCCGCATGCCCAGCCCTACCAACAGTTCTTTGGAGCTTATCTGCAGGATTGGATTCTTGGAAACATTCTACACCATCAAAGGAGCCTTGACTTTGGCATTACCTGTTGGTCTTTTTAGCGGACCAGAAACGACCGAGTCTTTACAGACAAAGTCGTCACACCTGAGACCTTTATTCAGTGCGTCCAGGCTTGGTTACCTGTAGTGAGAAATTCTTTGGACAATGATAGTTTCATTCATCAGCCTAATTCTCCTGGTAGAACAGAGGGGCAAATCACTTGGAAGCCACCGCGTTCCGAGTGAGTTTACCTCAATTTTGATGACTTTGTTCTCCCTGAATCAGGCCATGCAGCGGCTGGTGGCTTAATTCGTAATAACTTGGGACGCTGTCTTACAACATTATCTATTAACCTGGGGTCGTGCTCTATTACCCAGGTTGATTTGATGGGTGTTGTTGAAGTTCTTCAGGTGGCTTGGGATACTGGTCAGTGTCGGGTTCTGCCTCAACTCGACTCGAAAGTGCGCAGTTCAGCTGCTACAACGCACCGACATTGACGGGCACCACTATTCGGCCATTATTTCCCGATTTTATGTGCTCCTTTCCCATCCTTGGGAAGTTCGTATCTCCCATGTGTATCGTGCGGGTAATGTTTGTGCTTATTATCTTGCTAGTCAGGGTCACCATCTTACCTATTATTGTCATTTGTTTCCGATTTTTTATTCGATGCTCTCGCATCCGTTATTATATGACTGTCAGGGGGCGGTTGGTTTTGAATGAAAGTTAGAGTGTCGTTGCATCCATTATAAAAAAAGTTTTAGGGTCAACGGTTGGAATGGTTCTAAAAATTGGTGGTGATAAATTTGATAATGTTCAATTACATGTTTTATATAGGGTAAATGCCATATTTGGTCACTGTGTTTACTAAATCGTGTTATGTTTAGTCACTAACGGGAGAGTGACTAAATGTGACATGTTTGAGTAATTCGAGTAACCAAAATTTATATTAAATTTTTCTAGTGACCAAGGCCGTCAAAATCGGGATTTTGATCGTAAAATCGTAGGATTTTACTTAGGGATTTCGATCCTGATTTTACTATAAAATTGGTGGACCTTAAAATCGTTCAAAATCGGAATTAAAATCGTTAAAATCATAAAATCGTACCAAAATCGGGATTTTGATCTTATGTGAACAAAATAGGGAGATTGAGCCAATTCAAAAGAAGCTTTCGGTGCAAATGACAATGACGGGATCTTCTAATATATTTTTCCTACTAAAAGAACATTTGAAAAGAAGAAGAAAAAAACTAATAGGTAGGGATGACAATGGGTAGGGTCGGGTGCGGGTTTACCCTATACCAACTCCTAACCAGTCGGGTAGAGCCTTCTAAAATACCCGACCAAATAACCACCGGGTATGAAAATTATATAACCATACCCTACCCACCAGGTAACCACGGGTATTCGGGTAACCATGGGTACGAATCCTAAACTATGAACTTATACACATATATGCACATACATACTGTTGTCCATTAAAAATTCTCCAAACTTGTAACTGTTCTAGCTTCAACAATCCACACAAATAAAAATAGCAAACACATAATAATTGTTCTTGCTTCTACAATCCACACAAACATAATAATCGTCTACATTTTCATCATCAATAATGGTAGCTAAACTCAATTTCTCAAGCTAAACTAAATTTCTCAAGGGAAATTGACCCTTTGGTTAGCGGGGCGGGTATAACGGGGCGGGTATTATCGATTACCATACCCGTACCCTACCGTTTATTTTGAAACCGGGTATTACCCGTACCCGCCCGTTACCCCGTCAAAGCAGGTAATTACCCTCGTTGACCGGTTACGGTCGGGTAGGGTACCCATGGTTACGGGTTGGATTGACATCCCTACTAATAGGGTTCGGTCAACCCCTTTCCCTTCTCCTTGTTTAACTCATCGGTAAAACAATTGTCAGAATATTGTAAGTGCGTAAGAATTAACATCATTATTAACAAATTATTTTATTAATGAATATATTTGTACCAAACCAATGACATTAATTATTTTATTATAGTTCAGTTATTCTTAGTTTTAAATCATGCTTAGTAGATGATGTCGGAATACTACTTTGAGTTAAACTACCTAGACACAACATGAAAAACAAGAGCCAAATCCCATGAGCTCTATCCCTTCCTCATAAATTATTTTGAGTTACGCATTAAATAACAATTAAAATGATGATTTTGGAACATTAATCTTGAAAATTATCACTTTAAATGTTATAAGTTTTTGTGTTATTAATTATTTACCTTATTAATATTATTATATGTTAATTACTATATGATACTTAAAATCCTACGATTCCGATTTTACCCCAGTTTTCGATTTTAGGTAAAATTCCGATTTTAACTACTTTGCTAGTGACTAAACATGACATGATTTAATAATCTCAATGACCAAATATGACATTTACCCGTTTTACATACAAACCGAACATAAGAACGTCCTTATCGAATGGTCCACTCTTATTCCAAAAAAAAAAATGTTCCACTCATTTCGTCAAAATCCAAACTCACCACAACCGTCCATTTACATAGTAATTAATGTCATAAAGTCACCGTTGTTCCTCAAAACTGCCTGAAATACGGTATATTCCCTTAACCCTCACACAACACAACACACGCGAATTACAGAAAGAAGAAGAGAGTAATAATTGTCATTTTCACTAATCTTCTTTTTTTTTGGTAGAAAATGGGACGCTAAAGGGCGCCCCTGCCTGAAACTTAAATTAACCGGGTTTGGGATATACCCAAAACGTCATACAAAATCCAGAAGGTCAGACCCGGGTCTGAGCTCTCAAAAACATGGAAACCTATACTAGCAGAGTGGCCTTTATTAGCAAGGAAATCCGCCACTTTATTTCCTTCTCTATAGATATGGGAAACTCTGACTTCCCAGTTCTGCTGGAGCAGTCTCTGAAATTGCAAAACCAGATTATGATACCTGTGCTCCGTCTGATCCTGCGAGGTAAGGATATTGATAGCCGTAGTGGAGTCCAACTGCAGCAAGACTTTCCTGTATCCGTACTTCCACGCCATCTGCAAGCCCCGGATGGCCGCCATGATCTCGGCTCGGGTAATCGTGCACACTCCCAAGTTCTCCACAAAGGCTCCCATGCATTTCCCCATCCAGTCTCGGATAACGCCCCCACCAGCTGCTTCTGATCCTGGTTGTTTCACTGAGCCGTCGGTGTTAACGCACACCCAATCTTGTGGTGGTGGTCTCCAAGCTAGCTGCTGTTCTGACCTCAAGGGCTTATCAAGCTGAGATGCTGCGTCATTCTCCTGCGCTTGCCTGATAGTCGACGTCCAGCAGCCAATACGTTGCGCCAACACGTGATCTTCTTGTGTCAGGTTGTGGAAGACCTTCTCATTTCTTCTTTTCCAGAGATACCAGGCCGCCACACCGAACAGAAGGCCTTCCTTCTCCCTCTTGAGGTGCTCATCTAGCCAAGCTGCAAAACCGAGACCGTAGGTTAGTGAGGTCTCTTGTATACCCAGCTTGGTCCATACCTGTAGAGAGCTCGGACACTGGCGCAGAATGTGTTCAGCCGTCTCCGGTCCCGCTTTGCATATCGGGCAAGTATCATCCGTCGTCAGTTTCCGCTTCTTGCGCTGCGCATTGGTCATCAGCCTGTCATGGAAAACCAACCACAGAAAATGCTTAATGCGGTTCGGGCCTGCCCACTTCCAGAGGCGCTTCCAGTGCTGGTGGTTGTTCGCTTGCTCCTCCTCCCCCATCCCGTCGCTTAGCCACTCCACAGCCGCAGCATAGGCTGACTGAAGCTTAAACTTTCCGTCTGGCTCCATTCCCCAAGCGGTAATGTCTTCACCCGATCCCGGCACGGGAGGGTCTGTACCTGCAATCAAAGCCAACAGATTCTCAGACACATGTGGATCAATATCCTGCCACTTCCACTCACCTGAATCCGTGACCATCTCCGCAACGGTAGCCTGCCAGTTAATTCCTTCCCCAGTGCTTGTGATCTGCTCACTCAAGATAGTACCCTCAGCAAGCCAAGGATCCGTCCAAAACTGCACATTATGGCCTTCTCGGATGTCCCACACCACCCGCTGCTTAAGAATAGGCCAAGTATCCACAATGCCTTTCCATAGTCGTGAGAAGTTACTCTTCTTCATCACCAAAGTCCCTGCCTCATTGACTTTGAAATACTTGCTCTGCAGGACCCGAATCCATAGCTCCTCTGACCTGTTCAAGAAGGCCCACCCGAGCTTCATAATGTAAGCCAGGTTCAAAGCTCTAGCAGAGCGCATGCCCAGTCCACCAAGCTCCTTTGGTTTACAAATGGTTTCCCATTTGACCAAGTGAGTTTTAGAGACGCCGTCTTCTGCACCCCAGATAAAGGCTCTGACTTTCCTGTCAATGATGTCACAAACCGAGACCGGGAGAACTGCCGTTTGCATGACATAATTCGGAAGGGAATTGAGAACTGAGGTAGCCAAAGTCACTCTCCCTGCCAAGGAAAGACTCCTCGCCTTCCAACCTGAGAGCCGGTGATCAATCTTCTCCAGGATGAATTTATAGGTATCCTTGGTGACTCTGCCGTGGATGACCGGAACACCCAGATAGCGCCCCAGGTTGCTGGTTTGCTTGATCCCCAACATGTCGCTGATCCTTTTCTTCAGGTTTTCCTTGGTGTTTTTTGAGAAGAAGACACAAGACTTGTCCTTGCTAACTTGCTCCCCTGATGCCTCACAAAACCGGTTCAGGCAGCTTAGGATCTCTTCTCCTTGCTTCGGGTCAGCCTCCGCGAATAAGACCAAATCATCTGCAAAAAATAAATGAGTCAGTGCAGGGCCGCCCTTTGACAGCGTAATCGGTCTCCAGGCTTTCAATAATTAAATTGCATCAATTGTCTATAACTTCAATTATACATCTCTATCATGGATTAGTTGCCTGTGATGTATGAGATAATAAGGTTAGTGACAACATGACATGAAATATCGAGTACAACGAAAAAATAAAACTATTGAATAAAAGATGATAGATAATGAAAGACAACGAAAGCATACCTACCTAATCAACTTAGTATTATCTCAAATGTAAAATTAACAAGACTAAATTACACATTTGGCCACTCAAATTACATAAAATTTTCACATTTCTTGTCCAAATTATATTTTTTTTATTTGGGTTGGGTTGGATTTGATGATGTGGCAGGTTTGATGATTTGGCAGTCGAGTTTGGTGATATGGCAGGTTAAAATAGGGCACGCCAGCACTTCTGTTAGCTACGCCAGCAAATTACTGATAGCGTTAACGGAAATCGACGAAGATTAACGAAGAATGACCAAACATGAACCATTTTACTAATTTGAGTGACCAGCATTAAAATTAAATAATTTTAATAATTAAACATAATATTTTTTAGTAAACTCAGTAACCAAGGTTACGTAGAATTTACCCTCTAAACTTGTTTCTCGCCAAAACAAATTGAAGGTCAGGCTTGTCAATAGTCATTAGCCATTAGGCAAGTCACCCCACTATGAAGAAGATTGATGTTGATGGGTCTTCGATGACTACATCAAAGAAATTGACTATTGTTTTTTATTTCCACTACTAATAACATTTTGGCGACTGGCAAAATTGAAATAATGGAACCAAGTTTTTTTTTATTAGAAAGGAATTGGTTGCTCGGTGACCATCACAATTCACAAGTTGCAACATTGTATGGTAGTTTCTTTTCCTTTCTAGGCAAAAACTAATGTTTAATATAAAAAAGAATAATTCTAGTATTGTGGGATAAAAAATTCATTACACCTTAGATTCCGTTTTTTAAATTCATATAGCTATTTATAAAGTTATTAAATTATACAAATTGTAGGAAATCCCTAAAATGGTTTCAGTAATCTTTAGAGTGTACACTCATGTCAAATTTATGCCTCACACTTAATTTATGCCCATCTGAATGTCAAATTACTAGGGGTTATTATGTTAATTACCAAAATAAATAAACCTAAATTCTATTAACCATAGAAGATAATATTATAATCAGATCGTCCAAACTAATACAATAATAATATTAGCCAAACTAAAGTTTAATTAATTTGGTTAATTAGTAACCAGATTAACCAATATAACATCAAATTCTCATTAAGTGAGAATTTGTTTCGGTTAATGCATCAATTTACAATTTATATAATGAGTAATACATAACAATTAACACATAATTATAGTTAATTCTTAACATAAGTAAATATAACTAATATAATTACTTTACATTCAATAGAAGTATTCACCTAACAAAAATATATGTCAATGGTATGGGGTTAATGTACTATTGTGTTTGTATAAATTGACATAGTCTCTTAGCAATTATCAGATATTGAAACAGACCTTATTTTGAAGTTTTCATCGAATATAATGTATAAGTTTTATCTAAATTAGGTGTATATATGTTGCGGTCTACATTCTACAAATACAAATATACAACATATGAACAATATTGAGCTTTATTTTTCATGAGTCTAAAAAGAGGAACATTTGGTTGTCGAGTTTTTATGCAAATTATTATATGTATATAATATATATTAGATATATAGCTAATTATTTAACTGGTTAATTTGGTTTCATTAGTTAGCAGTGTCTGAAACCAAACCAAACATGCTAAAAAAATTGACCAAACCATACAGATTATTCAAATTAACCAAACCAAATTATCCAAATACTATCAGTTAAATCGATTACCACAGTAACTACTCCATTTGAACACCCCTACAAACCAGTGATAGAGTCACTTTTATGAAAATGGAGATTATATCTCCACTCAACTTTCAAAATCATATAAAATTTCATGAAAATTTTGTAATAAATTTAAGAAATATAGTTGTTAATAAACCTTTAGCATCTGAACCTAGAATTTAAGGCCCTCATTAAGTTCTTTTGCATCCGTTACTGTGCCAAACAACGAGTTTTATTAGAGAAATGGGTGTAACTAGATATGGATAAAAAAAGTTTATTGTAAACCAAACTATCTATTAGTTAGTAATTTTATTTGAGTACTATGGGATATATAAGAACAAGTATCTCAATTTATAAGGCATGCATGGTCTATTGACACTGAAGTGTAATCTTCTATGAAACATGGCGAGCAATAGTGAGTCAGATTTAATCATGTTTCATCATAGCGGGATATCCTTCTCCAACTTGCCATTAAAGTCCTTCCTCTTATTGTGCCATTTATGTCCAATGGAAAAAATGGCGATGATCCATATAACTTTTTTTGTGTTTGTTCTTCAACATAAGATGTGATGTTTTTATCTGTACCTAGTTATTCTGCTAACTGCATAAGTTGTTAGTATATACTAACTAATATCCAAAATGTATGAAATAGTATCCTAATCTGCTGATTTTACTAAAGTATCTAGATAGCACATACTAGTATTCAAAACATCACAAACTAGTATCCAGATAGCAGATACCAACTAATATCCACAATCAACCAACTAGTATTCAATATGGATACTCTTATAAATTATCTGGATACTCTTATAAATTATCTGGACATAAGGACATGCCAGTTTATCTTTGGTACTCCAACCAGAAAGGAGACAATAAGCTGAAAATCGTTGATAGTCCACAACACTATAGCTTTTATGTTGAAGTTCATTTTTTTGAATGCGTCATAATTCACAACACCATCATTCCATAATGCCTTCAGATCATCTATGAGGAATCTCAGATAAACGTCAATATTAATACCAGTGTTTTGGACTAGGAATGAGTAAAGTCAAGAACAAATATAGACTCTTCATGCATTGAATTTATGCAATGCTCTCCAAGCTTCATAGTCAGCAGGGTGCCTTAATAGCCCATCTTTGGCATGTGTACGTCATGCCATATCTTGGGCAATTTTTCTCGACATGAAAAATCTTTGGAGTCTCGTTACAATGAAAAAATATCGTAATATTTTCTATGGAACCTTTTTCACTCTCCCCTTTCTATCCTTGTAGACTTTCTTATATCCATGTACCTTATGGATTTGTTTGATAAGTCTTTTTATGATTTTGTTGGATGAGTATCGTAACACTTTAGGCAAATCCCACATCGACAAAGTACATGAGATATCCGTGGTTTATAAGTAAGAAACCGACCTTAACTGACAAGACGCGTTTTGGGGGGAAACGGAGGAGCTCTTGTGAGAACTCCGAAGTTAAACGTGCTCAGTGTGGAGTACAACAAGGATGAGTGACCTTATTGGAAGTCACCTTGAATTGCACTCCAAGTCAAAAACAGTGAGGGCCGAGGCCCAAAGCGGACAATATCTTCGTCGGGAAAAGGTTCGGGATGTTACAAGTGGTATCAGAGCCTCTCTGCGTCCCTCTTGAAAGATGATGGGGCAAACCTCAACGAGGGCGTTGAGTCCCAAAGGGGGGAGGGGGTGGTATGTAACACCTTAGGCAAATCCCACATCGACAAAGCACGGGAGAGATCCATAGTTCATAAGTAAGAAACCGACCTTAAATGACAAGACGCGTTTTGGGGGGAAACAGAGAAATTTTTGTGAGAACTCCGAAATTAAACGTGCTTAGTGTGGAGTACAATAAGGATGAGCGACCTTATGGGAAGTCACCTTGAATTGCACTCAAAGTAAAAAAAGCGAGAATCGAGGTTCTAAATGGACAATATCTTCGTCGGGAAAAGGTTCGGGATATTACAAGTATAGATGTAAATTTGATCAAGCAAACAAAAAAAATGTAACCATTAAAAAATTATCAAACGAGAAATTATTTTGTCATGAACCAGTTGATCCCAATAACTCGAGTTGTTGGGAGAGGTTCAATCATGGATCATATACCACAACACTAACACGCCCCCTCAAACGAAAGCCACTCACAAGGTCTTGAAGTTTGCACAGGTTTGAAGACAAGAATACCATGTGCTTAACAAATGGGAATCGAACACAAGACCTCACGGTCACAGAAGGCTCTGATACCATGTCATGAACCAGTTGCTCCCAATAACTCGAGTTCTTGGGAGAGATTCAATCATGTATCATATACCACAACACTAACAATTTGGTCATTCGGAATTGTTTTGTTAGATATTTTCTTCCCTTCATTCAATAGCATTTCGGTATATTTTCCCTTTTTCCCATTAAAATGTTCCGTTTTATTGAAATGCTCTTGTCTCCCTGCTGCGATAAAAGCTGAGTCTGTCTCTCTGCCTCCAAGAGAGAGAGAGAGAGAGTCTATCTTACTCTTGAAGGACAAAGACAGCTCTCTAGTCTTCCATTTCTCCTCTGCACACACCGCCACCCCAAAAATTGCTTCTCTCACTCTTTCTTCCCCTCAAAGGTTTTGAGATTCCTGTACAATCAAAGGTAGGATTGCCCACAATTTTTTACCCTCTCTGTTTTTACACAAATGAAACCCAATTCGAGAACCCACAAAAGTTCTTTGCTTTCTTTTGAATTTGTGGACTTCTTGATGGATTGTGATTTTCTTGAACATTTAACTTTTTATTTTGGGATGAAACTAGAACATTTAACTTTAACAAGTAGTTCAAGCTTATGATTGAAAGATGGAAGCTTTTGTTGTTCTTATCCTGGTTCTCATGCTTTTTTATTTATTCTGTAGTCGCCAGTCCTTTTGTTTCCATTTTTGGGAGAGCTGGGTGGAACTACCAATGGCGGTTTCGGTGAACTCATAATTTTAAGATTTGTCTTTTTTTTTTTTGGGGCGTAAAAGTTGTACCTCTTCAATATCTGGGGAGATCTTTTCTCTTGTCTCTTACATGATGTCTTGCCTTCTATGCCTGGAAGAGAGCTAACCATGCATGAAGGAGCACTGGTTTCCATGGGAATTCTTTCATTTTTGTTGTAAGATCAGTCTGTTGTTTCATTTCTCAACCATATATCTTTATGAATCTGAAGTTTATGAGGGTGGAAGAAGACACCAAATTTCTTTCACAAATTTGGCTGATAAACTTCACTTACCATTTGTTTAACGCTCATGTCTCCCTTTATCTCAAGTTTAGTTCTACTACAATCCTTTTCCTTCTCTAGTTTACTTTTCTTTGTGGAAGATGCCTTTCTTTTTGTCTGTTTGGAGAAGGGTTCTTGGGGAAAGAAAACCCTCCCCAAAAAAAAAAAAAAACTCCAATCCTGACCATTCTTCTGCTCGTCTTGCCAGATCCAGTTTCGAATTTCGGCAGAAGATCCTGGAGCTAGTCTTTTTGCTGCTGCGTAGGTGGTTCATCTCTATCATTAACATACAGTTTTGAAGCTTGATCAGAAGCACATACTGCTGAAGAGTTAAAATGCAGGCATCAGAGAGGTTCCAGTCACCAGCAATGTCATCCGCCGGCTTATACTACCAACCGAGTCAAGAATTCGAGCCCTACTGCTTGCCTCAGTTCCAATTACCTCACCAACTATGCTACAATGGAAGCGTGCAGGCAACTTCTCAATTCCCCTTTGAGATCTCTTCTGAACAATACTGCACTTTGGAGTCATCTTCCCCAAATGCCATTTTCAGTACCTACAACTTTTCGCCTAGTGGGAGCCCAATCTCGCAGCAGGATTCTCAGTCACACCCACCTGATACATATGGCTCTCCATTAAGCAGCTCGTGTGTTACTGATGATGCCAATGATATAAGACACAAGCTGAGGGAGTTAGAGACTGCAATGTTGGGGCCAGATTCTGATAACTTAATGAATATAGAAGGCGAGTCACCAGAGATGGACTGCTTGAGAAAAATCATGGAGGCGATATCACGAGCTGATCTAAAGCAAGTCCTAGTTGCCTGTGCCAAGGCAGTGTCCGAGAATGACCACTTAATAGCACAATGGCTGATCGATGAATTACGCCACATGGTGTCAGTTTCTGGTGAGCCTATACAAAGGCTAGGCGCATACATGTTGGAAGGCCTCGTTGCTCGGCTTTCCTCTTCTGGGAGTTCAATCTGCAATGCCTTGAGGTGCAAGGAACCAGCTAGTGCTGACTTGCTCTCTTACATGCACATCCTCTATGAAGTCTGCCCTTACCTCAAATTTGGATACATGTCAGCGAATGGGGCTATTGCAGAAGCTATGAAGGATGAGAACCGGGTTCACATTGTTGACTTTCAGATTGGTCAAGGGAGTCAGTGGGTGAGTTTGATTCAAGCATTTGCAGCGAGACCCGGTGGGCCACCACACATTCGTATCACAGCCATAGATGACTCAACTTCCGCTTATGCACGAGGTGGAGGGTTGAATATAGTAGGGAAGAGGCTGTCAAAGCTGGCTGAGTCGTTCAAAGTGCCGTTTGAGTTCCATGCTGCTGCTATCAATGGCTGTGAAGTTCAAGTGGGTGATCTCGGTATTCGAGCTGGGGAAGAAGCTCTAGCTGTCAATTTTGCGTTCATGCTTCATCACATGCCTGATGAGAGTGTCGATACAGAGAACCATCGAGATCGGTTGCTGAGGATGGTTAAAGGGTTGTCACCTAAGGTCGTGACACTTGTCGAGCAGGAGGCTAATACAAATACTGCACCGTTCTTTCCTCGGTTTCTAGAGACACTCGACTACTACACGGCCATGTTTGAGTCGATCGACGTGACCCTCCAGAGGGATCACAAGGAGAGGATAAATATTGAGCAGCATTGCCTTGCTAAAGATGTTGTGAATGTGATCGCTTGTGAGGGAAGAGAGCGAGTGGAGAGACTTGAGCTTCTGGGGAAATGGAGGTCAAGGTTTGTCATGGCGGGGTTTACACAGTGTCCTTTGAGCTCTTTGGTGAACGCTACCATTAAGACACTGCTGGAGAATTACTGCAAGCAGTACAGGCTTCAAGTGAGGGATGGTGCGTTGTATCTCGGGTGGATGAACCGTGATTTGGTTGCTTCTTGTGCATGGAAGTGAAGAAAAGGAAGGGGCACTAGGTAGAACTTTCTCGCTTGGAGTTGTTTGTTGTAGCCTTTTGCTGTAGTTTTTCTTCTATGAATGGAAGGCAGCCATTTTTCGGCTCTACAAGCTTTATAAGTTGCCAAGCTGGGTTCTGTTTGGCATTGTTAGCTTTGTAAAACTGAAGCAAAGAGTTTAAAAGGAAAAGCTGGAATTTAGAGTAGAGGAACGAAGGAAAATGTTACATAATTACTGTAGCTTTGTCTTCTTCCCATATGTATTAGACAACCAACCCAACAATGGCTCTACATCCTGCAATTATTGCTCAATCTAATACACAGCTGAAAAATAGTGTCTGCAAACAATTCATTTTTCACCCACAAGTTCAAGATAAAGAATCTACTTTCAGTTAAGTTGAACAGGCTCCGAATCCGGGATGTGTTGCTGAGTTGGTTTGCAGTCTGGATGAGTAGTGGCAGCAGAATGAACTTTGGAATCGCAACCATTCTCTTCTGATGCTTCTTTTGACTCACCAGTGTGTTGGTCATTTGTTCTGCCTTCAAGAATAAAACTTGTAGTGGCATCGGAATCATGGTCAGCAGCATCACTTTCCTCCAAGGCGCTTGACTTCTCATTCTGCTGGTCTTTCGATTTCAATTCGTTCAGGTGAATGGGACTTGAACAAACCTTGTCACTCCCCTTGTCAACAAGACCTTCTTTACCCTTGTCCCCTTTGGCTTTAGTTCTCGACGCACCATTAAGTTGTTCCTTGGGTTTAGCATTGGCATCAGGAGTGTTACAAGCTGGTGTGCTGCAGTCGATTTGTTCGGTAGGAACGTTTGAGGTACAAGCGTCCAGACCAGGTATGTTGTGAGTAACAGTCCTTGACGGTGGCATGTCATGATCATGTTCTCCTTCGTAACTAGTTATAACCACCTTGGGATCATGGGATGCCCTCTCGACATGTTTCTTGACTGGACAGCCGGGACTCGAGCACCTATAGTAGCTCCTGCATATGTTGTCAAGAGCAGTAACAAATTTCAGTCCGCCATGTCTGTATTTAGGTACATGGAAAGGTCGATGAAATCTTTCTTATGCACAGTTTGCCTTGACAAGCTTACAACATCATCAGCACGAGCTAAAAAGGTTCAAGGTTAAATGCACTATGGGATCTGTAACAAAATGGTCATTCAACTCAAGATCTTAAAGTGATACTAACAAAACTTAACTAAAGATTTTGACAAAATACTAAGTAGACTTTAAGAAATCAGAAACAAAAGAGTCACTCTATCCCATTTCTAGAAATTAAATTAGTTAGGCTAAGTAGACTAAAGTAGAATCTCATAGCAACCCTTGAATTTAGATATTACCTCGGGTTAGGATTTCCTTTGACCATCTTTTGGCCATATTTGCGCCAACGATATCCATCATTCACGATATCCTCCTCGCTCAGAGTCTGGACAACCACTCGTGGTTCACCAGCTGGCTTGTCTACAACAGGAGGATCAACAATCCCGCGGTTCGCTTTCTTCCTGGTTGGTTTGTAAACAGAAACATCAAACAAAAATGTTACTATAGAAACAACATTAGCAAAGTAAAACTATGTATCGTAGATAGTTATGCAGCTAACATACTGCCGTTTAGACTGGTGATCATCTTCCTGATCAATTTCATCTCTTTTCCTAGTCACTTCGGATGGCACGGCTCTCACATCCTCAGTAGATGTCAGTGTGGACATCTGGGAGGCATTTGTGAGATTGATTGGGGGGCGCCCTTTCCCTACTACATCATGACATCATAGTATGAAATATCATATCATGACATCAGAAATCATTTATTATGTTAATATGTATAGATCATCTTTACCTTTCACAGCAGGTGACAAAGGGCCATCGGATCTTTCTTCGATCGATGAAACAAAACCTAGAGCTGGTGTGAGATTGGCTTGAGGCTTAGGATGATCGTGCTGGCCAAAGTAAACGATATCTGCGAGCTGACCCTCATGTGAACGTTCTAACTGCTTCTTCACTTGACAGCTGGGATGAGTACATTTGTAGTAGCTTCGAATGAATTCATTTCCTTTAACAAGTTTCTGCCCGTACTTTCTCCAGTTGTATCCATCCTCCAACACTTTCTCACGTATGGCAGGACTTCTTCCATCCTTAATGGATTGTAAAGGATGTGGAGTGGCATGAAAGACTTTCACACGCTCAACGGAAGAGACACTTGCTCCATCATCAGGCTCCTTTGGAATTTGTTCATGGACAACAATTGACATTGTTTTTTCTTGACTCTGTAATGCATGAGTTTTGATATCATCGGTCTCTTCACCCTTTTCAGGTCTGACATTATCAGCACTCTTTTGTTGCTCCTTCTCATTCGAGGGAACTTCCTCTGGACCTTCCACTGAAGAAGCCATGAGAAACTGAGGGTGATTGCTAAAGACACAGGAGATCTAGTCGAGGTGCTAATCGTACTTCAGTTGTTCATATCTGTACCACTGTTTCAAGAGCAATGATAGTTGTAATTAGCTGAGATGCACATGATTCAGACTCATCAAAACATCCTAAAGGTTTGCCGATTCATGAACAAAGATGGACAGACATCGAAGGAATCAACTGGGAAAGAATTGCTCACTCGTTAGAGAGCACGAGAATTGCTCTGATCCAAATACCTTCGTGTCATAGTGAAGCAGTCTCGCCATTCCATTACAGCTAGGCTTCATGAGTTTGACTTACATGCTATTGAAATCAATGAAGGAGAAAGAGAAACGTGAGGAGTCATGAGTTCAGCATGGTAGGAGAGAGCAAAATTCACTGTCATCCTAGTAGAGCTAGGACACAATCTGCACCAAGTGATACAATGAAGATTCAAGCAAGCACAAGAAACTGAAGATTTCATCTCATTTACAGAACCATTTCTTCATCACAACTAGGTTTTGGGGAAAGTTCTAAGGCCACTTGTTCAACAACAGTCCCACATTTCCCAATACCATAGCCTAAAACCCACCCCCAAACCATACCAAAACCACAGCTTTCAGTTCGCGTAAAGTCACAATTCAGAGGCAATCTTTACAAGCAAACCCCAACCCAACAAAGCTTTTCTTATGGTTTAACTTAACAGCAGAGTTGGGGGACAAAGCCCATAACATCCGTACCAAAAATAGCAGGAATTATGCAATGACAATGGCTCAAAGTGTCCAGCTGGAGCTTAAAACCAGACCAAGAAAGACAAATCAACCACAATTAAAAAAGATCCCATCTTTCCTTCATTTCCCCTCAGCTAAGACCACAGCCACACTTGCCCAATTACCATTTCCCCACCAACCAAACAACGAAACCCGGAATCGAGAAATAGTCACCAATCAAACAACCAACACAAAAAAAGGAAAGCACATACGAGGAGTAACAGAAATAAGCGTCGTACACAAGACAATTACCTCGTCGGCGACGATGATCACTCTCTCCGGTGAGAGCTGCTAGCTCCCAAAGCTGAGAGCAGAGAGGATCAAAGAGACACCAGTGAAGGGGAAGTTTCGAGAAGTTTCGTGGATTAAGCGGTTTTTTTGTTGTTGTGATGGGTTGATTTGCAGGACGGCAGACAACTGAGACAAGCACTGCAGCGTGGGAATTTCGAGAATTTATGTTGGTGGGTTTTGTTTATTTAATGCTGTAAGAAATTCCTCTAATCCATTAATCACAGAGAGAATAAGAAGGAAGAAGGAGGAGGAGCTGCCAGAGGGGAAATGTTAGTGTGCGGTAAAGGTGTATGGAAGAATCTATGCGCCCCAGCGCTGAAAATCATTTGTGCGATATTTTCCAAGAAATGATTGGCTTTATGGGGGATCGAGGAATCTATTAGAGTGCAAAATTGTATTTTAGTCCCTTAACTCACTGTTTGTTCGTGAACTGATCATTGAACTTTTGTTCTGTTTGATTGGAAAGCGGAAAAGTTTATGGGCCGTCAATTCATTTAAAACTTGTTGGGCCTTATCGAATATGGGCCGTCCGGTTTCTTTTTTTTTTTTTTTTATAGGAATGGGCCGTCTGGTTTGCCATATCCAAATGGCAAATGGATAGCCTTGATTGTGGACCTGATCTATAATAATTTAGTTAATACACACACACGAAACGAAGGGACCATTCTGCAAATCTCGAGAAAATATACGCGGAATTGCCTGTCCCTGCCCTGTCAAAATTGTCGTCCGTCTCTCTCCGGAATCCATATCGCAACTTCCTCCGCCGTCTGTAGAAACCCTAGCCCCCGTCCCCGATCAACCCGTAGCTGTAAATCACCATGCTTCTCTCTCCGGGCCACTCCCCGAGGCACATCTCGTCGCCGTCGCCGTCTCTGATCTCGGAGGACGCTCTCCAGGTCTCATCCAAATCAGGCGGCGCTTCCTCTTCCAGGAAGCGGCCGAGGGTTCTCGATGAGGACACATACGTGGCCGCAATGGAGAAGATCATCGAGCGGGATTACTTCCCCGACATCTCCAAGCTCCGGGACCGTCTTGATTGGCTGGAGGCGGTGAAGACGGGAGATCCGATGCAGATACGAGACGCTCAGCTGAAGATCATCGAGCGCCGCGGGAAGAAGGCCGGGAATCCAGGGTCCGATTCCACTCTGCGGGGACCAAGCCGCACCAGGACACCAGGTTCTACTTTCATGCGTAATTTCACCCCTCTAGATGAATTCGATGTCACAACTCCTAGCGTTCTCAATGCTAATTTATCGGGCGAGCCTGGAGAGAATGAACCAGCGGATGTAGATGAATCTCTAGGGTTAGATGAGTTCCTCAGGAGGTATACTAGCGAGGATAACGATAGTTTTGCTAAGATATTAACCAAAGTCAACAAGAAGAGGAAGGAGAAGTATGCTCATTTGTTGGAAGGTGAGAAGGAAGAAGATGGTAAGTCCATAGAAGATGCAAAGCGGGATAGGATTACTGATGGTTATGGAACTTCCGATCAGCCTCCGAGTACGTTAGAAAGCTGGAAATACACTGCAAAGAATCTGCTCATGTATCACCCTGCTGACAGAGGTGAAGCTCCATTGACCGAGGAAGAGCAGGCCATTCGATTGCAGGGACTAACCAAAGAGATCAACAAGGGGAGCACTAGATTCCATGGTAAAATGATGGATACTAGGCCGAATGATGATGGCACCTTGGAAGTTCTCTACACTCCAGTTGTAGGTGGGACACCAATGCCCATGTCTGATAGAGAACGAGATAAGATGAAGAAGTATGATCTTGACGACTTGAAGAAGTCTGCGAATGGGTACAGCTTCGTGAAGACGCCATCGCCTGCTCCAGGTGTCGACGAATCACCATTCATCACGTGGGGTGAGATTGAAGGGACACCGATGAGATTAGAGGATGAAGACACTCCAATTGATATTGGTGGAAATGGGGATGGACCACACTTCAGGATCCCGAATCCGCCTCCAAGGGATGTCAAAGCTCACTCTTTGTCTAGGGATGCTGCACGAAAATTGCGGGAGAGATCAAAGATGTGGCAGAAACCGCCGTTGCCTTCCCCTAGCAGAGGGGGAAGTGCTAGCCCTAATGTTCGGACGCTGTCACCTGCAGCCCAGAAGTTTGTGAGGAATGCGATTTCAAAGAATTCGGGGTCAGTTGTGGATGAGTCTCTTCGAGCTAGTTATCGAGGTGGGAGTCCTTTGTTGGGGACCCCCAAGAGCGGGAGGAGCGTGTCAAGGCTTGGAAGAGATGGCACTAGCAATATTTCCAGGTCGCCTTCTGTGAGAGAGGGTTCCAATCCTCCATGGTAAAAGTGTTGGACTACTCGTCTGCGTTTAGTTTTTTTACGTTTGGTGTTACCTCTGAATTGTGCTTTGCTTTTCTTCGCTTCTCACTGTATTAATTCGTGATTGTCAATGAATGGTCGATGCTGTGTATTGGAAATGTTTGCATAATGGAAAGCCTTTCTTGAAGTTGAAGGCATGTGTTATCATAAATGCTATGCTGAAGTTGGCAGGTTCTGGTAACATGGTGGAACCTGATTGCGAGCGAATCTCTCTATCAATCGAAAGTCTGCATTGAAAGCTAACGGGTAACATGTGATGATGAGATAGAGGTGTTCGTTTGACTTTGGCAGTACGAGAGACTATTTTTCTTCCCCTTTTCCGCTGGCTGTTTCCTTTCTACTTTCTCAGCAGCTCTGCTGGAAATGTGTTCATCCCGTGTGGCATTGGAACCCGGCATGATCAGGAAAAGTCTACAAGGCTGGTCTGTTTCACCCCCCAAATCCGCCTTTTTATTTATGTGGATGAAAACTGAAATGGTGTTTTTGAGTGGCGTTTCTCAGTCGTGCACGATAGAGAGGTTGGTATGTACATGATACCCAAATCGAAAAGAACGGAGTAATGAGTAAGGATATTAGGTTAGATTCGATTCGATTTGGAATGGTACTGGTGGTATGAACCTAAGAGAACCGTTGCACCCAACCGCCCAGTGGAGTGTGACAGTCGCCATCGTTACCTTTCCTGTTGCAGTAGTAGTACTCATCACGGAGATCGTATGTGCTCATTTGTCACTGTCTGTCTGATCATCTTCCGACTTAAGAGATTGCAGAGATCCTGGACAGGATTTGTAGTGCCTTGAAGCTCAAGATATCGTCTGTATCTCGTTTGATTTTGGGCTGGAGAGGTTCGTCGGGCGAGTGAGCAACATCAAATTAGCTTTGATGAAGTCACAAGCATCACATTTCCTTCAACTGAAAGCGCTGATGCTGATGCCGATGCCTGCCTGTGCATGCATCATCGCCTTCCCCACCAGCCAGCCAGCCAGCCGCGTGAAGTTTACAGCACTTGTAGCCAGCCACTCACTTCCCTTTTCCTTGTTGGCGTGTGAATGTGGCTTGGTATCCACTAATTTCACAAACAAGTGGGGTCTGTGCAATAATACTATCTATTGATTACAAAAAAATAATTAAAGATGAATGATTTCAAGAAGTTGAAACGTAGAATGAAGTTTGCAAAATAGTCATTTGTTTGACGTTTCTTTAAGTCTCAAGTTAAGCGTCCAAGCTGCGAAGATGGTTACGTCGCATAATTACTAGGGTGGGCAATGTACAGGTTGGATGGATTTTGGTGTTAAATTGACTTACTTGTATATTAGCGAGTTGATATAATTGTAACTTGCTATACTCCTGCAATTTTTTTCGGGTTGGATTGAGTGGGTGACAGATAGGTGCGGTTAGGTTGTGGGTTAACCCACAATAACAATGCTCCAACTAGCCGTTATTTATAATAAGAAAGGTGACCAACATGTATAATAAGTTTCTAAGAAATTAGTAAGACTGTATCAATTTAAACACTTCCCACTTTGTCTCCTGTGGATTAGTGTTGTATTTTCATCAAATTTTTTATTACTCCGTCACAACCAATTGTGTAGTGAAAACTAATGATTTTGCAACTTTGATACAATTCATAGTTTAAAATTTGTATTGCAATATCTAAGGGACATTACACGCAAAGTCGTAAGTAATAATAGTAGTCCAAAAATATTATTTATTCTTCACCTTTAAAAGTAGATGGTAAGTGTGTAGTGTGGTTAGGAAATATGATTATTATTCGATTGTATAATAAACAACTTTTTTGCCATGTAAAAATATAGTGTGGGTCATTCGGATGACCCGCAATCCACCCACCACCGAAATAAGTGCAGGTATGAGATTTATCAATCCGCAATCCACGACATGGTAATGTTCGAGTTATTTGAAGGTTGATCAATATCAACGCACAAATTAACCACCCACATGCTCATCCAAAAAAATCAAAAACCCGTACTAGATCCCAAAAACCCACCTAGCGGTCCCCAAACTCTTACTTTCCTTTGAAAGACGATTGCTAGATTACATATTCTTCAATTTCAACGATACTAATCTTCTCAGTATCGTTCCAGTTTTATCGGATGTACCTAGAAGGAAATGTTCAATTTCAACCATGATTTTGTATTACTTATGATGATTTTGTATTATATCCCATCATACAGAATTTTCAATATTTGTTGAGTCAGCCTAATCATCCGCGATGGAAGCGGCAAGAACATGCCACGTGCTCGAAGACTTTGCCAATTGCCAATGCCATTGCCAAGTCATTACGCTCTCCTTCCTTCGAACACGGCGTCGTTTAAACCTAAACCCTCCACCAGATTCCCTTCCCCGCCTAAACTCTTCACACCTGCCCCGCCTACATTATAAATACCCACCCCTTCCAGTCGTTGCTGAAAAGCATTTCCGCAGCCGTATCGTCTCCTCTTCTCAGCTCTCTGATCATTCCCCTTGCCGAACAAGGAATCTCTCGCTGCCGACGCCGTCATCGTTATCGTCGCAGTTCTCCGCCGGGATATCTCGCGGCTCTCCAAGGTAATCAATCATTTACCTTCTCGTTTCAAGTTCTGTAACTCTGTTCCTCTCCTTGATTTCCTGTACAATTCTGCTCCGATCACGATCCTTTGCTGCCATTAACAAAGCCGCATCGAACTAGCTAATGGTAGTTAGTTCGATTAGTGTCAAAACAAGCTGTCTTGCTGGTGTTAGGTTAATGAGTTCCCTTTCACAACCCTAGAATTGGCCCTAATAAAATCGGGAATTCCGATCGCGTAAAGTGATTTTTTTCAGTCTCTTCAATTTCGATTAGGTATTTAATTCACCTAAGAATCCGACTGTTGCGATTACGATACTCTCAAATCAGACTAGGGTTCGGCACTACGAAATCGTATTATGAATCGTGTTAGTTATATCTCAGTTTTCCCCCATTGATTCAGATGCCAGCTGCTGGACCGAATGCGTCCGGTAGGGACGGGGAGCTGTTCGTGGAGGTAGATCCTTCAGGAAGGTTCGGGCGTTACGACGATCTTCTAGGGGCAGGAGCGGTGAAGAAAGTGTACAGAGCGTTTGATCAAGAGGAAGGGATCGAGGTGGCATGGAATCAGGTCAGGTTGAGGAACTTCATCGAGGATCCCGTGCTGATCAACCGGCTACAGTCGGAGGTCAAGCTGTTGAGGGCTTTGAAGAACAAGTACATCATTGTTTGCTACAGCGTTTGGCTTGACGAGGAGCACAGCAATTTGAACTTCATTACGGAGATCTGCACTTCTGGGAATCTGAGGAATTACAGGAAGAAGCATCGGCACGTGTCGTTGAGGGCTTTGAAGAAATGGTCCAAGCAGGTGCTTGAAGGGCTGGTGTACCTTCATACTCATGAGCCCTGTGTCATTCATAGGGATTTGAATTGCAGCAACATTTTCGTCAATGGGAATATCGGCCAGGTATGTAGAAATCAGAGTCCTTGCTTCTCCGGTTTGATTCATTGGTAGAATTGTGCCGACTCTCTAACCAAAATGCCTGATAAAATGGCCAGGTGAAGATAGGCGATCTGGGTTTGGCAACAATAGTGGGGAGGAGCCATGTGGCGCATTCGATCATAGGCACACCGGAATACATGGCACCGGAGCTGTACGAGGAAGATTACACGGAGTTGGTGGACATATACTCTTTCGGGATGTGCTTGCTGGAGATGGTGACGATGGAGATACCCTACAGCGAATGTGACAGCGTTGCCAAGATATACAAGAAGGTGACCACTGGTGTAAAACCTCAGGCCTTGAACAAGGTAGAGGATCAAGAAGTGAAGGCTTTCATCATGAAGTGCATAGGCGAGCCTAAGGCACGGCCTTCTGCTGCTGACCTTCTCAAGGACCCTTTCTTTGCCGGGATCACTGTTTATGAAGGAGATGGATCTGCGCGAGGGTAGGAATTCTGGATACCTGTAGTTTGAGCTCGAAACTAACAGTAGCCTAATGTCAGTAAATGTAAACGAGATACTGAATGCAATGATCAACTATAAGAGGCCGTACTTGTGGATTATAGGTATCCATTATTATCTATGTACATGCTATGCTAAGTCAGTTCAGTTTCATCAAGTTTGTAATGCGAAGGATCTTACCTTCATCGGGGTTCTTGCTTGCTGTTAGATCAGCCAACTCTGGGCATGGATTTCTGGATGTTCAATGTCGAACTTGTAACTCCCTGAACTACCACTGTACACAATTTCCAGCCTCGCAATGTGGTTTTCTTAAGAAGTGCTTGTGGCAATTTCTTCAGCTAGGGAGACGAACGTAATCTCAAGCGATGCAGGTCAAAAATAATAATAATGCAGCAAGTGGTTGAGATGAGAAGAAAGCATGCCAACCAAATTAATGAGTGAATAATTATGTAGTCGCCATGGACAACAAGTTGGAAAGAAGCATGAAGTAATTAAATGGAAAGAACCTCTGATGTGTATGCTCTTCTTGTTACGTGATTAAACAATAGCCAAAAATATAAAATATTGTTTGTTTGAGCGTATTTCCTAAATTGAGTGAAAACATCACGTATTTCTTTTATAATTGATCATAAATTCCATCTCAATTTCGCTAATACCTAAAAATTTGGTATCAGAGCCAAGTCCCTTTCTATATTCTAAAAAAATCTCATTTTCTTGCATAGACATTAAAAAAAAACCATGACAACAACTTCATCAAGTACCATGTTTGCCACCTCTTCAAATCAAATTCTCATTTTCGATGGAGAACTGTACGAGTATTAGACTACACAAATGAAATCTATTTTCAACTCTCAATATATGTGGGATCTCATCCAAGAAGGCTATGAAAATCCACATGAAGAGGAAAATCCTTGCCCTCTTATACTCGGTAGTTTGGGTTCTTACTCCATTGTTGATCATGAATATAAGAGGCATTTGTTGAGGTGATAATTGGATAATCTTCTAGCTTCCTTCTTCCTTGGGCTGGCCATTGACCATATGGGATATGAGGTTGATTGTAGCTTCAGTATGAGGCATATCCTCGTTGAGGTTGCCTCTGACAACCTTGATTCACATAGTTGACATTAATATGTCCTTTCCTTCAAGGTTCCATCAATCTTCATTCCTTCAAGGTTCCATCAATCTTTAATGTCATGACCTTCTTTTCCACATGTATGGCATATGAACAAGATTGCTAATAGTCCCTTCTTTGGCTCCATCTTGACATCCTTCAGTTGTTGAGAAAGCTCCTTCATTTGTTGGTGCAAGATGAAGTTCACCACCTCGCTTCATTGGGTTACCTTCAATGACTTTTTCATCGATCTCTTGGACCAATTCTTTGACTCCTTGCAAGTGTGGCAAAATGGTCCTGACATTGGCCCTCGTCATTTTTTTTTAAAATCTCCATCGACTAACTGGTTCACCATCATTGTGGTATCTTGATCTACTCATTTGGCGAATTACTAGACAACTTGATCCGAGGTGAATCCATGATGGGGGCACGCCATAAGATACTCTTGGAATATCTTCCTATCATCACAGAACGTCTCTCTTTCCTTCTCTTGGAAATGGTTGGTATCATCTTTAACCTCCTCCGTACGCCAAGGTGGAAAGAACTTGTCGATGAATGCTTGTGATAGGGTCACCCAATTGGTAAAGGTATTGAGTGGATGATAGTCTAACTACTTTTTTTCCTTTCCCGTCAGCGAGAAAGGGAATACTCTCAATCGAATGGCTCCTTTGGTGGCTTCATCTCCTGAAGTAGAACCTACGATCTCCAAGAACATCTTTAGATGTTGCACTAGATCGTCATCAATCCTTCCTGTGAACCTTCAAGCTAGTTGAACTACTGAGGAAGTGCCAAACTATGGGAGACGTTGTTTATATATATAATAGCTAAGGGACCTCAACTTTGGATTCCTTTACAGTAATGCTTTGATTTGTTTGTTGTAAATTTACTAGATCGTGTTCTGTAATGAGTCATTTAGTGTTGGTAGTTTTCAACTTTAACCCCTAGACCCTGAAATATGATCCTTCTTACTTCACTTCTTTTTTCTTTCTTCGTTGAATCTGTGTCTATGGTTCGCTCTAGCTACAACATTCCCAATCGACGGTCAAGCATAACCGAAGACCAGCTGTAGTATAGGGTAAGCCAACAATAAAATTATAGTAGCACGGGGGTCTAGGTATACCCTACTTCAGGGTTTAGGTTTCGTTATCTAGCCAACCTAGAATAGTGATTAGGAAAACTAATCTAACTAACCTAGCTAACCACTAACCTAGTTAATTACAAGTGGTGGAGACTTCTCATGTCTAAATCCCCCTAGTTCCATCATTCGGATAAAGGTCGAGTACCATCCTATCTTGACCGACCCAATTTCATCTAACAAATAGGAGCTAGGCTCCCTCGGGTGTCAACGGGGAATGGCGTAGCAAGGGATGGTGGTGCTCCATTCAATCGAGGGTTTCCTATACCGTCAAGAAATTGATTGAATAGACTCCTCAGGGGGTTGTCCAGAATGATGCAAGAAAGGAGTGACCCGATGACGCCAATAAAGGGCTCTAAGGGGATTGAATCCCTCTTAGGTCAAAAGCTCGATAACATGAAGTGGGAACCAAACTCATGCAATCCATGAAAACCCTCCATGTACTAAATGAATTCATCAACTAATTGTAGGATATGTCACATAGACCAACATTAAACCAAAAATCTGGACCTAGGGTTTATCAACCTAAGAGAAGATGTCTAGTTCATATAGAGGAGAGAGATTACAATACAAAGCACAAGCTCTTCCATCTTCATCTTCTAGTGGTTTATCTTCAAGCTTCAATGGTTGGTGACATCCTCCAAGCAAGCTCCAAGGACCCTCTAGATCTCTCCTCTCTAGGAATCCCTCTTTGGGGTTTTTGGGCTGAATGATCCCAAGTCGTCGCTCTCTCTCTATGGTTCGTCCCTTGGGTGTTTGGGATCCAAAACCCAGCTCTCTCTCTCCAAAAATTGTAGAAAACAGACTTATACCCGAGCAGCAGGCAGAAACACGGTCGTGTTTGTCAGTTCGTGTTTCAGCCCTTTCTTTGCTTTTTCTCGGCACTAAAAACACGATCGCGGGAGGACAAAACACAGCTGTATTTCTCCTGCCCGTGTTTCTTTCTCAGCTCCTGTTCCACTGTCTTTGATGCTTCCTTTCTCCCTCGTCCAGACTCCGAAAATGAGGTAGAAATCCATTCTTCTTCAGGTCATGCCCGAGTTTCTTCTCCCGAATCGCCAATTGATCTCCGATTGACTTGAAACTAGGGTAAGCAATGGATCTTGTAGGCCTCAAACATTTCATTGCCTATGCCTACAGCTCATCGAGGCCTATTATTTTTACCCTAACTATGATAATGACCGTAGTCGGTTACTAACTGTTTAACCGTTGGTTACCAACTAGCTAAATTTGACTACCAAGAACGGAACGTTTACTGTTCAATAGGTTATCTGTGTTACAATTAACCACTAGTTTCAATTCGGTTGTCAGTTACACGGCCACTAACAAAATAATTGTTTATCAGCCCTACAGAGGACCACTCCTTGCGGAACCTATGTGAACGGTTTGACCTCTACTTAAACCGGGTTGGGCTACAGAGTTGGGACGAAAGCTTAGTCGCCCTCACTGTCAGAGTTCGCTGCCATGGTCGAGGAGCTTCTGATCATCAGCAGGAGCATCTAGTCTCTATCTTTCATGTCTTGCATGGAGATTCTCGACTTAGGAGTGAAAAATGGAAGTAGAAGATCAAAGCGAAAAAGCAGCAATGTACTGTAAGCAAAGTAGTCTTTGAGACCTGTGAGTGACGTAATGAAACAAAAAGGTTAATTGCATGTTTGGTCACTGAGATTACAAAAAACGTTCATGTTTGGTCACTGTAAATATTTTAATTCAATCTTGGTCACTTAAATTAGTTAAATGGTTCAAGTTTGGTCACTCTCCGTCCAACTCCGTTAAATTTGTCTGATATGGCAGTCAACCCTCAAAGTTGACCGTTAACTCAGTGACGTGGCAATTAAAAAATAATAAATAAAATAAATTTGAATCTTCTACAATTTCCAAATTATTTTCACATTAAAGTAAAATAAATAAATAAAAATATTATAATTACAAATTTAACGGAAGGATGATCCGACTGGAAATTGGGGCTGCCATTATTATTGTTGTTGAGGAGGTGGAAGTGAGTTAAACTGCTGGACCCGCTGCTTGTTCTTCGTAAGGGGAAGTCGAAGATACTGAATTGGTATTATTCGGACCACCAAGCACCGGCGACGCGTACAGGAAATTCCCTCTCGCTGCCATCCCTCCGCCGCCGCCGCCCAGCGAGCTGTTTGTTTTCATTTGGTGGTTGCTACTGTTGCTGTTGTATTCCTCCATCTAGCGGGAAATAATGATCTTATGGAAACCCTAGCAGTCTGTAATCAATATACAAAACCCTAGAAAAGAAACTTATATTCAGATAAAAGGGAATCAGGTGACGAAGGAGAAGGAGGAGGAGAAGAGAATCAGTGGAGTTGCAGCACCATGGAGGAGTACTATGGTTGTTGTTAATGTTGGACATGGGTGGTTTTTTTTTTTCTCTGTATATAAACTCAAGTTTGGGGAATTAACAGGCGGAGATGGCGGCGTCGGGGAGGGAGGAGTTGATGGAGTTGTTGAAGAGGAAGAGGGAGGAAGCGCCCCTTTATTTGTAATTATAATATTTTTTGTTTTATTTATTTTACTTTAATGTGAAAATGAGTTGGAAATGGTAGAAGATTAAAATTTATTTTATTTATTATTTTTTAATTGGCACATCACTGAGTTAACGATCAACTTTGAGGGTTGACTGTCACTGAGTTAACGATCAACTTTGAGGGTTGACTGCCACATCAGACTAATTTAATGGAGTTGGACGGAGAGTGACCAAACTTGAACCATTTAACTAATTTGAGTGACCAAGATTGGATTTAAATATTTACAGTGACCAAACATGAACGTTTTTTGTAATCTCAGTGACCAACTATGCAATTAACCCGAAACAAAAAACTACATATAAAGCGAAAACGAAGATGGAAATTTAAACTAATAAAGGCCTGGTCTGAGAACAATATCAACCATCAAATCTCATGTACTAATTCTTCCAACTGCCTACGTTATCAAAAAACATTCTTTCCTCGTGCTTGAAGCAAACTACTCTTGCCAAACAACACTAGTAATAAGCATGGCAAGATTGCAACCATGTTGCTAAAGAACTCGATTGCAAACGATATCCAGTGAATTCAGAATTCAACAACTGCCTAATCTAGAAATGCAAATAGCTAACTCATACAAACCTTAACATCTGCAAAAGATCTATTCTGAAGACAAACACAAAAATACTGAATGCAAGCCAAACTAGGAGCGAGCATCTCTCAGATTTCAGCATCCCCAATGGAACCCTTATTATAATGCTGACGTGCCAGAACTTTCGAGCATCAACTAGATGTACCGGAGAAGCCTGTTGCAGAAAAGAAGCAAATGTATTTGTAACCAACTTGGTACACAAACATACAGAAGAGACCATGGGTACGTAATTAACAGCAATAAAGCGGTCAAAGTGCTTCTTACCATATGACTGTACATAGAATGATAGCTCCATACCATCAAACCCCAGTTATGTTGCAACAGTTCCAGGGGATGATGTAGGCACATCGTCTGCCGCACTTTTGGTAGTTGCAGGATCAATAACGTCAGCAATATGTGGTAGTGTCGACTCATTCCTGTCCTCATCTGGACGCTGAGAATCCTTTTCATCTTCACTTGTATTATTCTGTGCGCCATTCTCTCCCTTACTGTCAGAAAGATGTGGACATTCATAAATATGGGAGTTTTCCACCTTTTCCCCTCCATTAGTTGGATCAGATGCCTGAGAGTGATCCATCTCAGTTTTTACATGAGAAGGATGCAAAATTTCTGCATCTCTAGTAAGCTGCAACTCACCAGCCACTTCAGCAGCATTAGGAAGTTGAGACTCAGTATCCAAACAAGTTTCTTCTGCTGCGAGTTTTTCCCCATCATTCACTGCAGTAATTGTATCAGCAAGCTCCATTTCATTGCTTACATCAAGAGGCTTCGAGACACTAGTCATTCCAGCAGTTGCATGAGGAAGCTGCTCATCACTAGATGCAATACATGCATTAATCAGCTTTGGGACGCCAACCTCATCAACAGCATCATGGATCTCATTATTTAGATTATCACTCTCAGTTGCTCCATCAAATAGCTGAGAATCAGAAACCTCGTCATTCAACTTCTCAGTTGGAATATCAAGCTTATGATTGATAACATGATTAGTTAATCCATCAGTATTCCGAGGCTCCTTAAAGTCACTAGTTCCATCAAAGAGCTGTCCATCATAAAGAATCTCGGCATTTTCACCGTCGCCAGAAAAATGAGATAGAATATGAGCATCGACATCCATCGCCGAAACCGTAGGGATACCATGTAATGGATCAACCTCTACAACTCCACCATAGAACTGAGACGGTTCATCCTCACTTCCTTCCTGATACTCTTCCACAAGTTCATCTTTTCTCCGCCTCTTCCCACTGCCCTTTCTTCTTACTCTCTCCTTTCCCCTTATCCTTTTCCCAAGCTCAACTGGCGTGATGTCAACTGCTACAGCAGTAGAAGCAGGATTTCCTGACTGGTCCCTCAAACAGTCCTGTGCTATATATCTGATCCTTGAAATCGACTCAAACTGTTGCCCATCTAACCCTTTCGTCGAAAACGAATCTGCTAAATAAGCAATCTCTCTCAGCCCAGCAATCTGTCAAACATACAATAGATGCGTCAGAATGAGGCAAAAGTCAAAATCACAATTCAAAGTATAAAATCATACACTTTTACACATCTAGAACAACAAAGATTCTATGCAAAATCTATTGGTGTTCAAAACCACACAGAATCACTGATAGAAGTGGTACAATCACATAAAATCAGTCAAAACCGCGATTTTGATCCACTTTTGTAAACTTACATAACATGACAGACAGCTCATATCACAAGTAAAAACTGTGTCTAGGTTTGCCTCAGCCTAATTAAGATAAGATCGAAAATAGAAAAATGCAAAACAACTCTGGCGGCCCCTTCCACATTCATTCCCAAATTCCAATCCCAAGGCGTTTCTTATATAATTAATTAGAAAACCTTTCGCGCAGCTCAAGCTGACTTACTAAGCAAATGTAGGCTTGGGCTTGAAGGCATAGAGGATATAAGTAAGGGAGGGCAACCTTTTGATCAAATAGACTGCAGTAGAGAAAGCCTAAAGCCAGGACGATGAATAAGATAAGAGACCTACCAAGGAAGGAACTACGTTCTGTAGGCAGCGCGAACAGACCAAATGCAAGGGCTCAATTCTCCTCTAAGAAGCACTTTCTCGCTAACTTGGCATGGTTAGCTTGCTTGTATGGGGCTGACTAGCTTAGTGAATGGTACTACTTCCCTCCACTCTAAAGCTACTATCCAACCCAAGTCTCGCGGTTCAAGAATAATAAAAATCTGTAAACTATGCTCCTTTACTAAAGCCTTAACATGACGCCTGCAATCATCAACAAAGTGCTTTGCACTGACCTGTCCTCGATAACACTCCCCATCCGCAAGATTGGCTTCTATGGTGCGGAGGCAGCTGCTTGCAAACCACACCTAGATCCCTTCTTCCTTCACCTAACTTTGATGGACAAGTATGGTTTTGTTCATGACTTCGAACGTTTGTGTGCTTTGATTTCAAGAAATTGAATTTTCAAGCTGTTTATGAGTGATGATTTGTGTAATTGTATAACTTTGACTTGTATTCTACGTTTATGAACTTCTTGTTATGAGTTAGAATCCACTATAGTTGAGGAGCTTATCAAAATGATTTATATGTACGAATAGTGACCTTTTGAATATAGACAAAGATAGTTATTTGAAGTATATATTTTTCCCATTTCAAAGAGTACAACTTATAGTTGGAATATTTTTAACACCTTTTTTTTCCGTTGAATATTTTTAACGCCTTTAAATGATGCATAAGAAAGTATGTTTTTAGGCTGCACATTTAGGCTTTCCTTTTCTAGTCATCTTTCCGCTTCTATGTAGACAAAGATAGTTATTTGAAGTATAAATTATTCACACTTGAAAGAGGACGAGCTATAGTTAGAATATTTTTAACACCTTTACATTATGCATAAAAACTTACGTTTTTACTCTGCGCTTTTACGCTTTTCTTTTCTAGCCATCTTTCTGCTTCTACGTAGAATCGCGCTTTTGACTACATCAAAATAACCGTGGTTGTCAAAATTTTAGATTTCACGTAAAAACGAGAAGTATGGTAAAATCACAACCGTATGATCATATAATGATACATTAAGATTTTAATGCGCTACAAAACAACTATACATATTAAATCATTACATAACTAGTAATATTGCTCATGTTCAATAGCATAACAGGATATTCATAAAAGAAATAGCATGACAAAAGAAGTAGAATCAAATGAATAATTTTATCACACATGTCGAGATATAATAATAAGTGACCTACATATGATACGAGTTGGAAATATTAAATTTAAAACTACGTGTAAGATCAAATAAGGTATAGCTTCCTATCTATAATAGTAAATCATAACAGAATGTGCAAAGATTTTACAAGTAAAATTGTTACTTCAGATGAACTTTAAAAATAATAATATCATAAGATTCAATATGCCCTATGGTAAATCTGACAAGGACTTGTCTCTTTAGATCCGTAAATCATCAGATTTCAACATCTAAATCGGGATTATAACAAAAGTCTGCACAACCACTATAGAGAAGGTAAATTAGGTTTGAGAGTATCACCGTTCTCTGGAACTCAGTTGACAGCGATATAGGTCTTCCAACCACTTTCCGGGTTATTCTCAAGTACCATTCCATGTACACGGTCTCATCGTCCATTATGGCATCACTGCCCTCCACAATATGGAGATGACGACTGGCCCATTCATTGAGCTCAGACTCCATTTTCCCAGACAAGTCTACCCCACCATCGACTCCCCGACTCTTTCTCACCCATCGCGGAACATCTTCTGGGACCGGTTGAAACATGCCGTACTGCCTTAGGCAACGATCAGGTAGGTGTCTCTCAGCCTTGTCGAAGCATATGAGCATTGTTTTCGATCTCCCTAGAATCAAAGTGTCTTTGATCGGTTCTGGTATTCCTGTAGTGTCCATATCCTTGTACGGAAGCCAATTTACCTACAATGACAAGTTTAATGGGAGGATTATAGTTTACTCCTTTCCATTTGACAAAGGAGAAAATACAAAGAAGCTAGCATAGAAAAAGTCAAAAAGGAGAACATACATCAGTTGGTTTCAATGAATCCAATGCCTTCCTATAAAAGACCACATCGCGGTTTGTTGTCGGTCCACTTTGCTTTCCTTTCCACTTCAGTACGAACGGAAAGCTATCGTGGATAGGATCCCGGTTGAGCTTTGGACGCCCAATATCGAGATGAAAGTAACTCCAGCACTACAAGGAGTATACCAGTCAATTATAGCATTCTGTTTGAAATATGGGTTAAAAAGTATGAAGACTATTTCTGCCTCATTCAACTCACTGATCCCATGAGCATGATAAATTGTAACACCAAGTATGAAAGTAAAGGAAGAACATAGTAAACCTGTAGAAGTGTGAGGCATCCACAAATAGTACTTTGGGACTTAACACACGCATTACCAAGCGCCCGGTACAAGAAAGCCAATGCTGCAGCCCCCCAAGCATACGTCCCACATTCTTCAAAGTTATCAAACAACGGGAGGTACATAACTGGAACTTTATTACCAGTGGTGGTCGAGAAAATTGTGCTCCCTACCAGGTACAGAAGATAAGCACGAGTGCATTGTTCAACCTCTTCCTTAGGTGAATCTTTAGTACAGTGAGAGAAGTACTCCTTCAGCCAACTCAGCTTCACCATCCCACCACTAGCGTAATTAGAATCCGGGGCTTTCCCTAGAAGCTTCTCACAAACCGCTGCACAGGTTGTGTGTGTGATGCCTATAACCGGCTTCCCGTCGATAGCAAGACCAAGCAACAGCGCCACATCCTGAAGTGTCACCGTCATTTCACCAACAGTGAAGTGGAAGGTGTTTGTTTCCTTTCGCCACCTCTCGACTAAGGCTGAGATTAGAGGGTTGTCTAGACTAATGGCTGGAATCTTTCTCAAGAATCCGAATCCTGATTTCTCTACTAACTCTATCTGTCTTGGAGTCAGGCTCCATTCCCCCAACTTTGATGTATGTTCATGGCATCTAAGGGCACCTCGCTCCTATATATTATCCATCAAATGAAGAGTCAAAATGGAAAAGTGACATAAATCACCCAACACTCACATTGGCACATAGAAGAATCAACCAATTCAATCAAACTTCAACAAAATCGTACAGACAACACAAACAAACAAGAACTTTGTTCGAATCACAACAGCTTGCTCACCTGGCCTTCCCATACAGCAGCAGAAACATGCTTGTCTTGTTCATAAAGCACAGAGACATCAACTGGTCCAGGACTGACGTCCATTTACTGTTCATAACAAACAAAAGCACTCGAAGAGTTAGCACATAGAACCAAAACATAAATTGCCATTCTACAGCATGCAAAGTTATTGACAGGATCCTTATAGAACCCAAATATAACCGAAATTACTCTAGTTACTAACTTAAGAACAACAGGAGTCCTAGTAAAGAAAATTAGCATTGGGCTCGAAACCCCATAACCGAGCATCAAAAGGTACATACTTCCGCATGCAAGCGTTTAACCTAGAAACTAAAACCAAAGGTTGCAGCTTTACACACAATTTCACCCCTTTCTCAAGCCAATCTCATCTGGGCAGCTCCCGAAAAACACTACACACACAAAAGCAAAAACGAAATACCTCCTAAAATTGAATTAGAAACAAAAAAAAAATACGGAATCAACATGCAAGGAGGATTGACAGACGAATCTGATACGGGGTAAAATCCCCCAAGAAATCCCTGCAACCTTACAATCCCTACACCGTCCATAACGCTTCCTGCACCGGCGGCCATGGAATTTACGGGTCGACGTTCGCCGGCCATAGCTGCGGCGAGCGGAGCAATGAATCGACACAAAAGAGGCAAAAACGGGGCGGAGAAGCAGAGGGACGGAATTTCTACGAACCTGAGCTGAAACGACGACGGAGGATCCTCCAGAATTTGGCTTTGGCTTCGTTGAACCTTCTTCACCCCGCCGAATTGACTCGTTTCCCACCACTGGGTGCCCTTTCAGCGCAAAACGAAGAAAACCCTTCAAAACGACGGGTAAAAGGTGCAGCGGCGCGCAGCTCACTCTCTCTCTCTGTCTCCGAGGCTTTTCCTTCGCTCTATCTCTCCCCCTCGCCGTGAACTATTCCTCTTTTGGGTGAAACGCCGCGAACTATAACAAGCGTCTTTGATTCGGAAGGCATTGAGCTGTTGTTGGGCTCGATGTGCCCCTTTTCTCTACCATTTTGGTTGGGCTTCTCCTTTTCCCACTTTCCGGCCTATTATCCTATCCCAACATAGCATAATCCAATTTTAGCGTACCAACATGATCAATTTACCATTTCCATCATGGTTTTATAAGCCGAACTAGTCAGTCCAATTGGAAAAACTAGAAATTATGTCTAGTTCTGATTGGTATGCAGAAATTTAGGGTTGGTTTTTTATTCGGACCTAATTGTACACTTTTTGTCCCCATTTTCGCTTTGACGTTTGTTGTAATTGAACTCCAAGAAACGGTGATTTTACACAAGGTTTCTTGTGTTTCAGATCCTAATAGGTGAAACCAAACCTCGAGTCGAAAGTTGGAAGAAAAGGAGCAAAGACCGTGCAAAGAGGAGGAGTCAGCCACAATTCATTGTCTGCCATTGGAGTTAACGGTCTTACAGGACCGTGAACTGGAGCCACAATCCGTGAACCAAGGAGCATCCATAGAGGGTTTTGAGGTTACTGACGCAAGGTAGTTCACGGTCGCTATGACCGTGAACAGAAGCCACAAACCGTGAACCCCAAAATGTGAAGCGGTGCGTTTTGGTTCAGACACCGTATTCACGAACGTGTTTCGATGTTCACGACCGTGAACTCAGACCGTGAACTGGGCTTGATCTCAGTTTAAAGAGCCAACTGAAAGGAATAAGAAAGGGGGAGACCTAGTGTGAGAAACTTCTTCTTCTTCAGATTTTAGAGTGAGAAAGTGACGAACCAAAGAAGAGGAGAAGCTAGGGTTTCATCTCCAAGCAAGGATTTGGGAATTCCTCCCCCAAAGTAGGATCTCTTCAATGCAAGGAGCAAGGCTTTCATCTTCTTGATGGTTTTCCTTTCCCTCTCTTGTGTTTTCCCTTCTCCTAGCATGGAGTAGTCCTCGTTCACTTGGGTGTTTGTAAACCCTAGCTACAATTATGTGAATGCTTGTATGAATTGAATGATTTGTGTGTGGTTGTGTTTAATGTGAATGTGGAGGTATTTTTCATGGTGATTGTGTGTGCTATGTTGACCTAGCTTAGAGAGGGGACCTCCTTAGGTTAAGAGGCTCGATTAGAGATGGGTGTTCTTGGGCATTGCATGCCTCCTAGGCTAATTTAGAGAGAAAACTTCCTTTATCCAAAGAGGCTCAATTTGAGCTGGGTTTCCTTGGGCATTCAAGGCCTCCTAGACTAGTTTAGAGAGAACCCTCCTTAACCTAAGATGCTCTATTAGATATAGGTTTCCTTGGGCATTTCATGCCTCCTATTCTAGGTTAATTAAGGGCAAACCTCCCATTTCGTATTATCACTTAGGGTTTGGTTGTGGGTGGTCGTCCGAACTCCAATTCGAGGGTGAAGTCTAACCATTACTTAGTCGATAGGTTGAGAGGGTCGCATTAGCGGTTTGGATCATATCCCATTTCCTCAACCTAGATATTAAGAGGGTAGCATTGGCTACTTGTTAGACTTCCCTGCAGTTTATGACCCCCCAACCACACACGGTCGTTCGATTCTTCAAGTCGTAATTGTTAGCTAGGGGGAGCAACACCCGGGTGAAGCCTTCTCAATTAGTGTCAAATCCATTTTACCTTTGCAAAGTAAGTTAGCTTCAGACCTTTATTTTCACCAAAACTCATTCGTTAGATAATTAAACATACTTGCCCTATATTGCATCCATCTAAGGTTTATACTTGGGCCTTAGGTGAGATTTTATGGTGATAATCAGAGCGAGTCAAGTTTTTGGCGCCGTTGCCGGGAATCGCGGTCCATTATTTTGAAAAGGTCGCTTAGTGTTACTCTAGCATTTTCTATCTTGCCTTTTTGTTTGTGTTTTGTGTGTGTTTTCTTTACCACTCTTCGTCTTGAAGGGTGGTTTGTGTGTGTTTGATTGTCCTTTTTAGTGTTTTTGTGTTTGTAGGTATTGGATTATGGATCCTTATGATTTCCCCCAAGTGTGGGGGTATCCACCAACACCCGAGAGTGGTTACCTCGGAACTGCATGGGACGATCAAGAAGGGGGAAGTCACGGATACGGATTCTACTACCAACCTCCCTTCCAAGAAGAGCAACCATGATCATGGGGATACCAAGAAGCTTCTCCATATCAAGAATGTTTCCCTCCACAATTCGAGGTGAAATCCAAGTTGGAGTTGGTCATGGAGGCTTTCATGGGACAAACCCCAAGACAATGTGCCACTCCACAACCGGAGCCAAAGAGCAAATTAGAGCTCATGGTGGAGCGATTCGCCAGGGGCACCGATGAAGGGTGCTCTAGCAAGGACCTCCCAATTGCCAACCATTTCGACTCAACCTTTCTTCGGTAATCGGAGGAGCTCCTTCGACACACGGAGAGGCTAGGAGGGCTTGTTGAGCAAGCATGTGCACAACTTGCTCACAATCGCCTCCTACCATTAGAAGAAGGAAGGGAGGTCGAAGAGGCAAGCCATGAGAACTTTGGAAGATTGAGCTCCGGCATGGATTTCCAACCCCTCCCTCCACCCGATTTGACACTTGAAGAGAAGGTGGCACGAGCTTGTGCAAGCTATCGCCTCTCAATATTGGAGGAGAAAGAGGAGGTTGAAGGAGATATCAATGACAACCGTGTGGAGCAAGACGAACTCATCCCGAAGAGCTCCCATGGTGAGGATGCACAAGAGGGTTGCATTGATGACTTTCACACCCTTCCCTAGAGCAACTTTGAAGACCAAGTCACGAGTGTGGAGGAGCAAGAGAATACTTTTTATGATCTTGCATGGCATCTTGCCCTCCAAAGCGTGCTTGAGGGCATGAATGTGAAGGAGAAGGAAGAGGTTGAAGAGGAGGAAGAAAACATTGAAAAAGGGGATCTTGATTGTTCCCAAAGGGAGGAAAGTGAAAAAGAAGGAAGAGAGGTCGAGGAAGAAGAAGAAGGAGCTAGTGGTGTCAAAGATGAGGACGAGGTCGGGGTGGATGAAGCATCCACGAGTTACAAATGCTACCAATGCTTTCTACCCGACCTTGACACGCTTTTGGAGAAGGACCCATTGCGGCTCTTTGCCAAGCCAAGGCCAAACCATCAACGATCCCTCTTGGTGGATGCGATGAAAGTCAATCAATAATGGACTACATGGTGTGGGGCAAAGAGAAAGAAGAAGAAGAAGAAGAAGAAGAAGAAGAAGAAGAAGAAGAAGAAGAAGAGGTATCGTGGGTGGAGCGTCATGACAACTTAAGTTCACGAGCCCTCAATCATGGATTCGTCCAAAGTTCGTGACTTGAGACTTCATCTCACCAACGAGAACCTCAACTTCAAGGAGGTTATTGGATGGACCGAAACTTGAGGAACTTTTTCTAGGGTTTTAGTTTCAGAATAAAGGAGGATTTCTAGTGAGAGATTAGGGTTTCCTCTTCCTAATCTAGAGAGAAAGTGCAATTCAAAGGAGGAAGAAGGAGATTGAGGCTCATTTCAAGCTAGAGGAGTGAAGGTTTCTTCTTCTCAAGGGAGATTCAAGCAACAAGGAGGAAAGATTTTCATCTGTTCATGGTTCTTTCCCTCCTTTTCCTTGTTTTCCTTTGCCTAGCTATGGAATAGCCTACCGATTCACTTGGGTGTTGTGAACCCTAGCTACCATTATGTGAATGCTTGTACGAATTAAATGATTTTGTGCGTGGTTGTGTTTAATGTGAATGTGGAGGTATTATTCATGAATGATTGTGTTGTGTTGTGTTGTGTTGTGTTGTGTTGTGTTGTGTTGTGTTGTGTTGTGTGAAAGCCTATCAATCTAATTGCCATTCTAACCTAGGTAGAGAGAAAACCCCCCTTCCTTTCTTTTAAAGAGGCTTGAATGATGGGTTTTCTTGGGTAATTCGTTGCCTCATAGTTAGGTTAATGCAGGGAAAACCTCCTATTTCGTATTAGCACTTAGGGTTTGGTTCTGGGTGGTCGTCCGAACTCCAATTTGAGGGTGAAGTCCAACCATTCCTTAGTTAATAGGTTGAGAGGGTCGAATTAGCGGCTTGGATCATATCCCATTTCCTCAACCTAGAGACTAAGAGGGTAGCTTTGGCTACTTGTTGGACAACCATTTGTTAGTCAATAGGTCGAGAGGGTCACATTAGTGGCTTAGATCGTATCCCTTTCCTCGACCTAGAGATTAAGAGGCTAGCTTTGGCTACTTGTTAGACTTCCCTACGGTTTGTAACCCCCTAACCACACACGGTCATTCGATTCTTCAAGTCGTAGTTGTTAGCTAGGGGGAACAACACCCGAGTGAACTCTTCTCTCATTGGGACGACCTCGATTTACTTTACTTGCTTGTTTTTATTTGTAGTTTTCTTAGTTTTAAGGCAAAATACACTTGTATAGCCAAAACTTTGACGGTTTGGCCAAATATAGCCACTTTTGACGAAATACCAAAAATAGCCACTTTCGTCCAATTGTTTAACGGTGTTAGTTAACGTGCTGACTGTACTAATGGAAAAGCTGACATGTCAATGTTTTTGGTCAATAAAAATATGAGGTGGAATTAACCGTAAAAATAAAAAATAATCTTTTTTTATATTCTCTCTCTCCCTCATCCGCGACGCCATCGACGACTTCCCTTTCATCTCCATGGACACCGAGTTCCCCGACGTCGTCTTCCGCCCTCCCCCTCCTACCCGGACCAAGCCGTTCTACCAGCAGAGGAAACCCTCCGACCACTACGAGATCCTCAAATCCAACGTCGACGCGCTCAATCTCATCCAGGTCGGCCTCACCCTCTCCGATTCCGAAGGCAACTTGCCGGATTTGGGGACCGGAGGCAGGCAAAGGTTCATCTGGGAGTTCAACTTCAGGGACTTCGACGTGGAGCGTGACTCCCACGCGCCGGACTCCATCGAGCTGCTGCGGCGGCAGGGGATCGATTTCTCGAGGAATAAGGTGGAAGGCGTTGACTCGGGCCGGTTCGCGGAGCTGATGATGTCGTCGGGACTCGTCTGCAACGAGTCGGTGAGCTGGGTGACGTTCCACAGCGGTGGGTGATTGTGAAATCGACAGCGGTGGCGAGACTCCTCTTCCACCACTCGAGCACCAGATCGAGAATCCGATAGCCGCAGAGGAGGAGCCGGTGGTTCAGGAGGCGGAGGAGACGACGACTTCGGCGGCGTCGACGACGGCTTCGCTGACAGGTGGTCAAAGTTTGGAGTGGAGTCGCACATGGAATTGGGCTTGGTTTGATTCCCTAGCTTTCTCCATTTCCATCTTTTCGGCTTTTTCCCTCCTGGTGCTAGTGTAAGGGTGTTAGGGTTTTCGAATTGGGAAGTTCGGCAGTACAGAATTGGAGGCGATTTTGGGAAAGTGAGAAAGAGAGATGAGTTAGTTGTGGTGGTGGCGATTTTGGGAATTTGCTGCCCACAGGAGGAACGGAGAGGACGAGAAGGGGATCCGCGGCGGACTCGGTGGGCGGGTGGGTTGACTGTTGCCGCCGGAGCTGGGGAAGACGATGGAGCTGGGAAGATGGGTCTTGCGAAGTAGGAATATGTGGGTAAAAAAATTATTTTTTTTAATTTATTATGTGTAAATATTAATAATTGAAATATCTGACATGTCGCTTATTTGGCAATAACATGTCCGCTGAGTTGTTGCCTAGTCAGCGAACCGTCAAATAAGTTGACGGTGTTAATAACACCGTTAAAGTTTGTAATGGAAATGACTATATTTGTCATGAAACTTTGAAAATTCTGGCTATTATTGGTATTTCTCCAAAAGTGGCTATTATTGTCACAAACGTCAAAGTTTTGGCTACTCAAGTGTATTTTGCCTAGTTTTAAACCCAAAATTGTTTTGCTAGATAACATCCTAAGCGATTGAAGTAGGGGTTTATGGACCGGCCCGGGTTTGACGATTAAATACTTTCCCTATACTGCACCTGGCTAGAGTTTAAAAACTTGGGCTCTAGTCGGGATTAATTCGTGGTGTAGTTTCGTGCGAGTCAGTTTTCTTTCAAAATAGGATTTACCGATAGTCGACTAACCAATTAATGCTATACTGGTATGTTATTGCCAACAACCTTTATCGAGTTACTGTCAGTTTGCCGCCTGGCCGTTTACCACTTGCCCAACTGGTTATCTAATCAGCCTCGCATAAGAGAAAAGAACAGAATTTGAATCGGTGGACCAGTTTCTAACCGAACCAACTGTATGTTTCCCTCCTAATTTTGTATTTTTTATGTTTCATTTATTATATAACTTCTTAATTGGAATATTTTCATAATTATATGCATGCATTAATATATTACTATAAAGAAAACTATATTAATCGTAATTAATTAATTAGTTGTTACTATCTAATACTGTTAACGGTTAGGCAACTACATAAACATAATAATTTACATAACATAACAATCTCATCATCATTTGTCCATGACCAAACACAAGACAACATACACAACTAACATATTCAAATTCAAGTATTCAACATGCACTATAAGAAATTTGACCTTAAATAACAAAAAAAAAGTTGTTATGAAAGTTGTCATATTAGGGCACCAACTATGAAAAATCAAAGACTTGTCACGTTTACTTTACAATTTGTGACAAAAAATTTATTTGTCATAAAAATTTGTCATATTAGAGTTATATTGTGATAAATTTTATGTTGTCATTAGCATGTTGTCCTTTTATGTCTTATGTTCCGCGTAAATATGACTATAGAATGACAAATACACTGACAGTTTATGGTTTGTCACATTAGGTGGAAAAAATCATGCGAGATGACAAATTAAATTTTCATAATATGACGTGCAAAATGACACAAACATTTTGTTAGAAATTTTTGTAGAATTTCAATTTTTTGTACAAGTCCATTCGGCAGGACTATTATTCCCCTTCCCTCCAAAATGAAAAAAACCCTATCCTCTCTAACTCTTCAGCGCCAAGAACAGAAACCCACAATTCCTTCTCCACTGCATATTAAGAAACCCATATCAATCTCCCCTTATCCTCTTTAGCCATTCGTCTGGATTCGTTCTCCTCCCTGAGAATCAATTCTCCGGTAAGTCTCACGCTTCTCCTCCGCCATTGGACTCCTTGTCCTCTGTGATTTTGATGTTGATTTGCATGGTGGATGCTTGATTCCGATAAAAGTAGAGTCGGGTTTCTCATGTTTGTTCTTGTAATCCATCGTTCATAGTCACTCCTGTACAGATGTAGGGATTTCGCTCTGAATCAACACTCTGCGATTGGAAGAGAGCTATTTTCACCAACGTCCTGCCTTTGTTGTCGCGAGAACCTCCATCGACAACCATTCGAGTAAGTTTGTGCCTCGATTCTTTGTACCCAGTGTATGGATGTACTGATAGTCGACTAACCAATTAATGCTATACTAGTATGTTGCTGCCAACAACCTTTACGAGTTACTGTCATTTTACCGCCTAACCGATTACCACTTGCCAAACCAGTTATCTAATCAACCTCGCGTAAGAGAAAAGAACAGAATTTGAATCGGTGGACCAATATCTAACTGAACCAACTGTATGTTTCCCTCCTAATTTTGTGTTTTTATGTTTCATTATTATATAATTTCTTAATTGGAATATTTTCATAATTATATGAGTGCGTTAATATATTACTATAAAAAAATTATATTAATCGTAATTAATTAACTAATTGTTACTATCTAATACCATTGATGGTTAGGCAACTACATAAACATAAGTTACATAACAATCTCATCATCATCATTTGTTCATGACAAAAACAAGACAACATACACAATTAACATATTCAAATTCTAGTATTCAACATGTCACAACTCACAAACACCATAATCAACTAAAGTGTTAAATCCAACACAAGTTCAAACTAAAAAAAGAAGTCTCCAAATTCAACACCAACATCAACATCAACATGACAACTTCATGAAGTAGGAGTAAAAGTAAAACCACTAGCTCCTCTGTTTGCACCAAAATATTTTCCCTCTTGAAATATGACACGCCAAAACACAACACCAAACTGCGACCAAGTGTAATCGCAGTCCGGGAATGCAGTAACAGGCAAGTTCTATTATCAACCCGGGGTCTAGATCTACTGCTTACTCCGTGATTGTCTATTATCTAGCCAACTAAGTCGAGTGATTTGTGTTTAAACTAAAAGCAGTAAGAAAGCAGGAAATTATTCGGTTTTCTCAAGCAGGTAAGAGTCACTCGGGAATGAGTCCCCCTAGCCCCTTAGTTAGGTTCAATTGTAATTTCCCTGGGTTGATTTACTGTTGATTAGACTGCGGAAGATCCGACAGTAGCTTGGAATCTCTTAAGCTGACCAAGCCCTCTCAGTCTAACTACCCGGCAGACGACTAGTCTTCACCGGGATAGAAAGTTGAAGCAATAAGCACAGAACTCCACTACTGGAATTGAATTCCAGTACAAAGCAGTAAACTGGCTAACTCTCGTATAACCAATCTCCTACTATCGAATGAAGAGGCTCTAGCAACCTAATCAGATTCTATCTATCTCAGGTTGCAGCAGAAATCGAGAAAAGCTGATCAGACTTCAATCAATTCAATAAACATGCATCATTCGATTAAAACCAAACAGTATAATCATCCCAAGTCATTACAATCAAATACCTAACACCAGGAACTAGGGTTCTTCATACCCAAGTGAGAGAAGGGTTCTACTCCATAGAGAGAGAGAAGAAAACTGTAATCGGAGTAGTGATACTCATAATGATGAGGAAAATCTGCTCCGGGATGATGATTTCCACTCCTATGACGATCTCCAAGCTCGATTTGACGAAACCCAGCTCCAAGATAGCTTCTAGGATGTGTTCTTCGTACTTTCTCTCTCTAGGGCTCTGTTTTTGCTCTGAAAATCCGATTCTCCCACTTTTGGCTCGAAATTGGCTGAAAAACCAGAATTTCCCGACTCACACGGGCAGGCCACACGGCCGTGTGGCTCACCCAATTGCTCGTGTGAGTCAAAACGCGCCGTATCACTTAGATCGATCTTCAGCCATCCCACACGGCCAGGGTCGCACGGCCGTGTGGATTTCCTGGGATGCCCGTGTTTGGCCTCGGCAAAAATCACACGGCCACAATTGCAACTTGCACGGCCGTGTGATACCCAGCACCTAAAATATCACAAACAAGCACAACCTAGCGTGAAATCAGCCTAAAACACGAGAATCAACACCTCAAACGGTGTAAGAACAGGGGTAAAAACATGTGTAAATAACGGTCTATCAAACTCCCCCACACTTAACCGTTTGCTTGTCCCCAAGCAAACCAAGTCAGACACCAGGTAAGCTTACATATTTCAATCAACCAACATTGGAGACAAGTCATAAAGGCACAAAACACGTGAATCGTACTGGTTTTCAAACATCAACACATGAACAACCTCAATAACAACCTGGACAACCACCACAAAGGACATTCGAGTGCAGCCAATCGGGTAAAGGAAGAGTCTCCCTTCTGTTCACCAACCAACCCAGACTTGAATCAACCACTCACTCAAAACAGTCAACTCATGCATCCAACTCAAGACATCAGAACAGAGACCGAGCAATCTAGGTCCTCACCGGGGTACAAGAGTATAAAGAATATGAAAATGAATCACTCACTCTCGACCAGTGGGGTCAGGACGATTTGATGCGAAAAATGCGCATGCTATTTCTCTCAATCCCTATCATCTCTTCACCATGATGGCAGCCTCTAAATGCTAGAGTTCACATATGGAGTGTCACCACTAACTAATCCGGAGGTCTTAGACACAGGTTCAAATGACTGGCTAGGGTCTTGGACATGGGGAAAAGGCCTTTTAGGTGGTGGAAGCATTCATAACACAAGATTCCACATTTCCAAACCCACACAATCACAGTCAAACAAACCGGTATTTCCTTTCTGCTATTCTGCAATACTCAATATCTCAAGAGCACAAGAGCGAAGGAGGTACAAACATCAGCACTTCCAAGCCAGACTGCTTAGAAACACTACTTACTGGGCATTATTCAGATTTTTGGTAGTGGCTCTCTTTTGCTTTCAAT